GGAAAGGCTACCCACTCCAGAATTCTGGCCTGGAGAATCCCATGGACTGTATAGTCCATGGGGTCACAAAGAGTCAGACACGACTGAGCGAACTTTCACTTGCTATATACGGCTTTGCCAAACCTGTATGCCCCTTACTATGACCTCTTCCAGAGATCGTATCTTAGGCATCTTGTGTCTCTTCTGAACTCAGCGCAGGGCTTTGACCGTAGAGGACCAGCAATAAAAAATTTGAAGTCAAAGTAGTTTCTGCTCTGGGTGAAAACAGATGGCATTAAGCTCAAGCAACTGCTATCTATAATTGTAACTCAAAATCCTAGATAAGGTGGAATACCCAGGCCTGGGGACCACCAATAGCTCTACTGTTAACTATTGCACATCTTGAATAAATTGCATCTGGAATCTTGAATAAACCAAGAACCATAGATGTCATAAATGTTTAGGATCAGGAACTCTGTGCCATGTTTCCCTGACACCCAGCATTTAATAATCATTTTCTGCCCTAGGCACCATGCATCTATCTGCAAAACCCTCCACCACAATAATGCAGAGGTCAGCTTTAAATGAATATTATAAGTGATCATCTCCTCATGGAAGTCTTCCTTTTTTCTGTAAGAGTAGGATCCACAAAGGCATATAACAGAAACTGCTCACTTCAAGTTTGGCTCATGGGGGGTTCTTTCTGTGAGCATTTAAGTAAAGAGCAGGGATAAAAATTCTGATAGTTCTTATCAGTAATGATCAGCAATGTTCCCACCATGCAGCTCCTACTGCTCCTCATAAACAGTGAGGCAGGAAACAGAATTTTCCAAAGTCAAGTCCAAGGGGTAGGGGACACTTAGCTCAGGATAAGTACAACGAGCAAAAATGGGCTTGGTAGTAATTATTCAGGTTAGAAACAGGCTCCAAGCCGCCTCGCTTAGAACCAAGAGTTAGCTATACAATAAATAAATTGGGCCCACTCTGCATCACTGTCCAACAGGACTTTCTGTGGCAATCGAAATGTGCTATTATCTGTGCTGCCCTGGACTATAGCTACAAACCACGTTGTGACCGCTGAACGCTTGAAATGTGGCTCGTGTGACTGAGGAACTGAATTTTAAATGTACTCAATTTTAACTAACTAGATTTAAATTTAAACAGCCAAATATGGCTGATGGATGGTGCAGTTCTAGGTTCTCTAAGTCAGCGGTTCTCAACCAGAGGGGATCCTCTCACCCCCAGGGGACAACTGCCTCAATCTGAGATGGCTTTGGTTGCCACACTGTGGGGGAGGGGATGCTACTGGCATCAAGCGGGTGGAGGTCAGGGATGCAGCTAAACACCCTACAGGGCACAGGATGGCTCCCACGGCAAAGAATGACCTAGCCTAACATCAGGGGTGTCAAGGAAGAGACATCTGCTCTAAGTTCACTCAAGGCTGGAATTCAAGTAAACGCAAAACAAACTGCAATACACCTTGTCTAAACATAATACCCAGGAAGAATGAGACTTTTTTTCCCAAGCAACAGGAAAAGGTCTGGGCTGTTCTACAAGTTTAAAGTAGCAGGTTTTTACTAACAGGTGTATGTAGGTGTGCTGAATACCTCATTAAGATCTTCCGCATCAGTGTTATTACTTCCTGTGGCATTTTTTAAACTTGGATCAACAATTAAACATAAGTAAACACCGTGAGACTCGTTCCTTACAAGTTGGACATAACAGTATTGAGGGTTTGAGGCTCCTACTCTTCTAGTTTTGAATTTCTTGCCCCTTGAATTACACTGCATTTCCCTTGTAGCTCAGCAGGTAAAGAATCCACATGCAATGTGGGAGACCTGGGTTTGATCCTGGGTTGGGAAGATCCCCTGGAGAAGGGAAAGACTAACCACTCCAGCATTCTGGCCTGGAGAATTCCATGGACTGTACAGTCCATGGGGCCGCAAAGAGTTGGATACGACTAAGCAGCTTTCACTTACACTTTAATTACCCTATCTCTAGTTTTTCCGAACATCGATAATTTCAAATACAAAAAGACAACTGATATATTGTGAAAGAAAAATCAAGGCAAGGAAAAGGCTCTGTCATCACAGGTTTGCAGTTTGAATATTACTTAAAAAGCAAGGGTACAAAATTACATTTGACCAAAGGCAATGTACTGACTGATCCTATTAAACGATGATAGCACAGTACAGTGTAGAGTGAGAGATTACTTGAAATTTTAGAGGATGGGTATTAAATAACATTGGGGTTTCTGTAGCTACTATTAATTATGCAGGGATCAGTTTAAATGGGATCATTCAGAACTGCTCAAACAGTTCTTAAATTTATACATACTAGCAATGTAGAATTTAACACAGAATAGTCTATTCCTCAAAGAAACCAGAATAATGGGCACAATGCAATGTTTTACTTTGATGCAAATTATTTTTCAGAACACAAAATCCTCAACAGTCATATTACAGCAATTCTTTTTCTTTTCTGCCCACTTAGCACCAAGAGAAATTGTTCATTACAAGCAAAGCCCTCTATCGCTTCAAGGAATATAAAAATAAGACACAGTACTAGTTCTGAAAAACTTACATTCAGAATTTCCACACTGGCCAAAGGCAGAGACTTCCAGCCCACACATTCTGAATTCCTAAAACATCACTGTAATTTTTGTGAATGCGCCAGGCTTAAGCATGCTGGCGTTTCAGTACCTCTTCAGATCTTCATTTGAAGAGTTTAGATCTTTTATCATCAATTAATATTTAGGGAGCAAACACTGCAATATGCTAATCAAATACCAAAAAAGTAATATGTAAAGCAGGATTCCAACCTACTCTTTCCTAGATTTGCCTGTAATGAACTATATTCCTGGAGGAAAAGAACACTCCAGTTCTTTCGGTTTCTAATTGAAATGACACAAAGCTGCTCCCATCTTCTTTACGAAATTGGAAAGGAAACAACACTGAGGGGACATTGTTAGCATCATTTTGTATTCAACCACTGGCATTTGTATTCAACTACTGGTCCACACATGTTGTAGACCCGGGTTCCCAGTCTCGGCACTACTGATAATCTCTCGCATGGTGTCTGTCCTGAAGCAACGCCAAGTGTTAGTGGAATCCCTGGCCTACTCACTAGGAACCAGCAGCCCCTAATTCCTGGTTGTGACAACCAAAATATGTATCCAAACGTTGACCAAACATCCCCCGGGGAGGGGAAAACTGCCTGGTGGTTGAGAAACACTGATTTAGACTGAAACTCCAAAAAAGGTAGACACTGTGCTCATCAAAAGCCTAGGAAGACTTTGTGCCTAGCCAGAAACATTCATCACAGAGGCAGTGGAAGAAAAACATACTATCTTTGCCCTTTCTTGATTCCTTCCAACCAATTTATGACAAATAACCAACGTGTAGGCTAAATCACAGTGGGCACATGAAGACCTCTGGCTCAACTTGTAGTTAACTCCCTTCAACTCGCCAGTGACAAGTGAACAAATCTACAGCAGCTGCTGCATTGAAAAAAACGACAAAATATTTGCCAGTTCAAAATTAAAATAAAGCTGTCTTAAAACACTACCATTGCTCCTGAACCCCACATAACTGAAAAACCGAGTCTGGACAAGCAGACTCCCAAGCTTAGTAGACAGAAGGACTTCGGAGGCGGGCAGAAAGTCAAGGTCTGAAGGTAGGGATCCGTGAAGAAACCCAAGCTCTGGTTCTCGTTTACCCGCCCTAAATCCGGGACAATTAGAATCCATTTCACATGCCAGAGCGGTCAGCGAGGTACACCACGCTGCTGCTCTCCCAAGAGGAGACCGGAGGAAAACGCTCCTACCAGTGGATTTCCGACTGACCCCAGGGCCTCCCTTCACCACAAAAAGGGGGAGCCAGAAAGTTGTGCTGCAGCAGCATCGCCCCAAACGAAATTCACCATCTGCAGAAGCCCCGCCCCTTTCGGGACCTCAGGGGTCTTTACTGCATCGGAATCACGTGGGGACCTTGTTGAACGCACAAATCCCAGTCCCGCCCCCCTGAGGTTCGGACTTCAAGGCTGAAAATCTGGATTTTTTTTTTTTTTTAAACCAAGGGCCTCAGGTGACTCCTAGGCACGCTGAAGAAGGCAAACTCGGAGACCGCAGACAACCTACAGGTTTGCAGTTGGCTCCGAAACAACTGGGGCTTCATTCCAGGCGCTTCTGGGGCCGCAGACTGCTGGCTCTGTCATTCGAGAGGGCAAGCCGAGCGGAGGCAGGCCCCACGGTCGGCCCCGAGGCCCCCGACTGGGCTCCGGGTCGCTCGCAGCCCCTTAGAGAACCCGGCCCCGACGACCTGTCCTGGACCACGGGGACCCTAGAGACCCCCGGGCCCCGTGACGTGACCAGGCCCCAGCCGCGAGGGCCGAGACGGACGCCCTCGCAGCCAGGCCTCCTCAGGCGGGCCCGTTAGCCGCCGGCCTCCTCCCGGGTCACAATGGCAGCTCCCGGGCGGCAAACAGTCGTCCCGGAGGAGGGGGGTCTCGGGCCGCCGCGCCGCGTCCACCCCAAGCTACGGACCTTCTTCTCCAAGGACGCGTCCATGGCTGAGGCGGCCGGTGGAGCCCGAAGGAGGCCCGGCAGTCCCAGGCGCTACTTCCGCCTCCCGCGCCCCGCCGCCGTTTCCACGCTGGCAGCGCTGACGTCCAGCGCGCCCGCGGCGGGCAGGGCCGAGATGAGGTGGAGCTGCCCGGCAGCGCCGCCGGGAGGGTAATGTGGGTCTCGGGATGTGGGGCGGGCGGGGGCGGGGGCGCGGCGGAGAGGGGCGTGGCCTGTGGTGGCGGTGCGCGGCGCGGAGGGGCGGGGCCTGCGTCGGGGCGGGACCCTCCAGGCTGCTGTTTCTGGCCTTCTCGCCGGCCAGACCAAATGGTCCCAGGTGAGAGACGGTGGCACCGTTCCAAACGCTCCTCAAAAAGCCTGTCGCGGGCGTCAGGGTAGAAGTGTGATAATTACAAGATATCAGTTATGAAGTAAAATTCTGGAGATGCTAGTAACTCACCGGCACTTCCGGGCTTAGTCTTCCAAGCTCCGCCACTATCAGCATCCCTCAGGAATGGAACAGGCCATTCACCACAGCTGGGCGCCGCGTCGGTGGTTTCCTAGGTGCTAAGGAATGTTTCGAGTTTCAGAGGGTTTCAAGTATCGGACTCCATTGAGAGTGCCGGCTGCTCTGTAAAGGCGCAGGTCGGAGCTGAGGAATTTGTCTTAGATCTTGCCGCAGAATTTTAGACGGGAACGACTTTTGATACAACCGGCACAGTCTCTTTCTTCATATCGGGCCACAATTATAGATAATAATGATAATAATAGATCAGCGGCTGCTCTTCCATTTTATGCTACATCAGCCCTGTGATGTAGAGATCATCATTTTCCCCGTTTCACAGTGCCAATCTAGGTAGGATCCCAGCGCCTGTATGCCACACGTACTGCCTCTACAACCGCTTCTACCCCTGCTGTATAATCATAAGGTGTTTCCAGGGAACGAGGGAGGACGTAAATGTCCTTATTTTTCCCTCTAAACGAGAGAAACTGAAATGAACTAGTCTATCGCAGTTCCAGTTCGTAAAACAATTCACCACTAGAAAACCGATGACATTACGACCACAGAAACTCATTTTCTCTCGTTTTGTGCACCTCTTCTGAAACATGTGTAAATGACGATCGCATTTCAGTGTAGTAATTACATTGTTTGATCTCTTTAACTTGTATTAGATAAATTGCCCAGTTACGTTAATAAAATTATGTTCTACCAAAAGAAGCCTTGTGTGTAGATTTAAAGAGTGTACAGTGGGAACCATTAAGGTTCTCTAGACAGCTCTTTAAACAAAAAAATGATAGATTTCTGTCTTCCAAGATTTAAAATGTACCTCTGCTTGAGCTAAACAACTCTCCTTTTCAAACATGTTATCAGTTAGAAAAGTTGTTATACCATGAACACCTATATACCTATTCTACAGTGAACATTTACCTATATTTGCTTTATAAATATTGTATTTACATCAGTATCCATCTATCTGGGGCTTCTCCAGTGCCTCAGTGGTAAAGAAGCTGCCTGCATTGTCAGAGACACAGGAGATGGGAGTGATCCCTGGGTTGGGAAGACCCCCTGGAGGTGAGCATGGCAACCCACTCCAGTATTCTTGCCTGGAGAATCCCATGGACAGATGAGCCTGGCTGACCTCTGTCTCAGTCTGAAGTAAGCAATCCATCTTTCTATCCATCAGTACATCTTATGTTGTGATACATTCCAAAGTTGCAGACCTCAATACATTTCAACCTTTAACACCCATCCTTTGGGTATCATTAAAAACTCCTAATTTTTAAAGCCACCTCCAAGTATCTAGATTATATTAAAAAGTAGATTCTACAAAACAAATACTAGAGATGTGAAATTTATTGATACATTATCTATTTTAAAAGTAGACTTTAAAACTCAACATGAAAAAGTGGTAATAATTGGTTCATTCAATATTTACCCAAATACTTATTGACTACCATCTTGGACAGTCAGGGACTAGACTACCCCTGACTAGAATAAGCCAAGATCCTTCTGTTAAGAAAATACTAAGGTAGAGGTTTTTACTTTGGGATCTAGGAGGAGGTCTGTGAAACTCCTAAACCTATGCCCCAGATTTTGCACGAGTGCATTTTTCTGGAGAGAATGAGCATAGCTTTTATTTTATACTCATGTCACACATACACACACATACACTCTTCTGGAAAAACAAAACCATTTAGCCTATAGACAGACAGATAAATTATAATACAGCATTCTATGGGCTAGTACGAAGAGAGGGTACAATGAGAAAAATATTGTAGGAAGTTGGAACATGAAACCACTCACTGTGTGGAAAACTGAGCTTATATGTTCTGATATAAACTTTTCCTGATTAACAGACAAAAAGCAAACCAAACAAAGGAAGTTTGTGATTATTTTTCCCTTTGGGTCCATTCACATGGTTTTTGTTATATCCTGAATAATATTTACATACCCACAATATGGGCTTCCCTGGTGGCTCAGATGATAAAGAATCTGCCTGCAACACAGGAGACCTGGGTTCAGTCCCTGGGTTGGGAAGATCCCCTGGAGAAGGGAATGGCAAACCACTCCAGTATTATTGCTTGGAGAATTCCATGGACAGAGGAGCCTGACAGGTCCATGACTGTCAGTAAAGTAACACACACACAATATACTGTAGTTTTTAAGTCTTTAAGTTTATCAACCAAGTTTCATATATGGAATATACATTTATTATTCATGATTGTTGTTCAGTTGCTCAGTCATGTCCGACTCTTTGTGACCCCATGGACTGCAGCACTCCAAACTTCCCTGTCCTTCACCATCTCCTGGAGTTTGCTCAAACTCATGTCCATTGAGTCGTTGATGCCATCCAACCATATCCAACCATCCAACCATATCATCCTCTGTCACTCCCTTCTCCTGCCTTCAGTCTTGCCCAGCATCAGGGTCTTTTCCAGTGAGTCGGCTTTTCCCATCAGGTGGCCAAAGTATTGGAGCTTCAGCTTCAGTATCAGTCCTTCCAATAAACATTCAGGGTTGATTTTGTTTAGGATTGACTGGTTTGGTCTCCTTGCAATCCAAGGGACTCTCGAGAGTCTTCTTCAGCACCATAGTTTGGAAGCATCAATTCTTCAGAGCTTAGCCTTCTTTATGGTCCAACTCTCACATCCATACATGACTACTGGTAAAACCATAGCTTTGACTATGTCAAAAGTCATAGACCTTTGTCTATAGACTTTTTTCCTTGGACCTTTGTTGTAAAAATGACATCTCTGCTTTTTAATATGCTGTCTAGGTTGGTCATAGCTTTTCTTCCAAGGAGAAATCTTCTTTTAATTTCATGGCTGCAGTCACCACCTGCAGTGATTTTGGAGCCCAAGAAAATAAAGTCTGTCACTGTTTCCATTGTTTCTCCATCTGTTTGCCATGTAGTTATGGGACCAGATGCCATGATCTTTGTTTTCTGAATGTTAAGTTTTAAGCCAACTTTTTCACTCTCCTCTTTCACCTTCATCAAGAGGCTCTTTAGTTCCTCTTTGCTTTCTGCCATTAGGGTGCTGTCATCTGCGTCTCTGAGGTTATTGATATTTCTCCCGGAAATCTTGATTCCAGCTTGTGCTTCATCTAGCCTGGCATTTTGCATGATGTACTCTGCATATAAGTTAAATAATCAGGGTGACAATATACAGCCTTGACATACTCCTTTCCCAATTTGGAACCAGTCTTTTGTTCCATATCCAGTTCCAACTGTTGCTTTCTGACCTGCATACCGGTTTCTCGGGAGGCAGGTAAGATGGTCTGGTGTTCCCATCACTTGAAGAATTTTCCACAGCTTGTTGTGATCCACACAGTCAAAGACTTTAGTCTAGACAATGAAGCAGAAGTAGATGTTCTTCTGGATTCCCTTGCTTTTTCTATGACCCAGCAGCTGTTGGCAATTTGATCTCTGGTTCCTCTGCCTTCTCTAAATACAGCTTGTGCATCTAGAAGTTCTCAGTTGACATACTGTTGAAGCCTGTCTTGAAGGATCTTTAGCATTACCTTCCTAGCATATGAAATGAGTGCAATTTTACAGTAATGTGAACATTCTTTGGCATTGCTCTTCTTTGGGATTGAAATGAAAATTGATCTTTTTCAGTCCTTTGGCCACTGCTAAGTTTTCCAGATTTTTCTGGCATATTGAGTGCAGCACTTTCACAGCATCAAATTTTGGGATTTGAAATAGCTCAGCTGGAATTCTATCACCTCCACTACCTTTGTTCATAGTGATGCTTCCTAAGGCCCACTTGACTTCACACTCTAGAGTGTCTGGCTCTATGTGAGTGATCACACCACCATGGTTATTCAGGTTATTAAGACCTTTTTTGTATAGTTCTGTGTATTCCCGCCACCTCTTAATATCTTCTGCTTCTGTTAGGTCCGTACTGTTTTTGTCCTTTATTGTGCCCATCTTTGCATGAAATGTTCCCTTGGTACCTCTAATTTTCTTGAAGAGCTCTCTAGTCTTTTGCATCCTATTGTTTTCCTCTATTTCTTTGCACTGTTCACTTATGAAGACTTTCTTATTGCTCCTTGTTATTCTTTGGAACTCTGCATTCAGATGAGTATATTTTCTTTTCTTCTTTTCCTTTAGCTTCTCTTCTTTTCTCAGCTATTTGTGAGGCCTCCTCAGACAACCATTTTGCCTTGTTGCATTTCTTTTTCTTGGAGATGGTTTTGGTCACTGCCTCCTGTACATGTTACAAACCTCCATCCATAGTTCTTTAGGCACTCTGTCTTTCAGATCTAATCCCTTGAGTCTATTTGTCGCTTCCACTGTATAATCATAAGGGATTTGATTTAGTTCATACCTGAATGGCCTAGGAATTTGAGGCAGGAGGAGAAGGGGACGACAGAGGATGAGATGGTTGGATGGCATCACTGACTCAATGGACATGAGTTTGAATAGGCTCCAGTAGTTGGTGATGTACAGGGAAGCCTGGCGTGCTGCAGTCCCTGGGGTCACAAAGAGTTGGACACAACTGAGCGACTTAACAGAATGGCCTATTGATTTTCCCTACTTTTTTCAATTTAAGCCTGAGTTTTGCAGTAAGGAGCTCAAGAGCCACAGTCAGTTCCCAGGCTTGTTTTTGCTGACTATGTAGAGCTTCTCCATCTTCAGCTACAAAGAATATAATCAATCTAATTCTGGCATTGATCATCTGGTATTGTCCATGTGTAGAGTCGTCTCTTGTGTTGTTGGAAGAGGGTGTTTGCTATGACCAGTGCATTATCTTGACATAACTCTGTTAGCCTTCACCCCGCTTCATTTGGCACTCCAAGGCCAAACTTGCCTGTTACTCCAGGTATCTTTTGACTTCCTACTTTTGCATTATTCACCATGGCAATGTAAAAATAATAAATTACCAAAAATTGGGCAGGAAGAGGTGAGGTGAATAGGAACATAAGTGGACTCACTAATGTCCTCAGCTTCATTCCAGAGAGTAAGTAGATACTTTCTAAAAGGGCTAAATCAAGATTCA